ATTTATTTCTAGGAGAGAGAGAGAGAGACAGCATGAGCAGGGGAGGGTCAGAGAGAGAGGGAGTCACAGACTGAAACAGGCTCCAGGCTCTGAGCTGGCAGTCAGCACAGAGCCCGACGCGGGGCTCGAACCCGCAAACCGCGAGATCATGACCTAAGCGAAAGTCGGACGCTCAACCGACTAAGCCACCCTGGCGCCCCTGATTTTTATATATTGACAGTGTATCCTTTGACAATGCTAAATTCACTTATTAGCTCTAGCAGATACTTTGGAGATTACTTGGGCTCTTCTTAGGAGCAATGGCAGTGTGCCCATTTTCGATGACATTACCTTCATTAACTTCCATCACTTGTTAAGGGGGTAGGTAGCCACCAGATTTTATTATCAGTATGAACTCCTGAATTTTTATTTTACTCAGTAAAAATGTATAAGTTTTTATTTTATTTATCTTATTCAGAATTTTTTATTTTATTTATTTATTAACTACCAAGTTATTACCAATAGCAACTCATGAATTGTTATTTCATTAGTTCACTTTATTTTCATCATATTTATGTTACTCTTTTTAATATTTTAAATGCAAACACTTAAATATTTACGTTTCTTTTTTCCCTTTAAAATTTTTTTAAATTTATTTTTGAGAGCACGAGCACAAGTGGGGGAAGGGCAGAGAGAGAGGGAGACACAGAATCCTACGCAGGCTCCAAGCCTTGAGCTGTCAGCACAGAGCCCGATGCGGGGCTCAAACCCATGAACCATGAGATCATGACCTGAGCCGAAGTCGGATGCTTAATTGACTGAGCCACCCAGGCGCCCGTAAATATTTACATTTCAATGGTTCCTCTAGGGACCCCAGCCTCAGAGCCAACCCTAATCCTTTTGATAAAATCCTTCCCACAGAACACAGGATGTGAGTTCCTTCTCCTGTGGGGGGTGGGGGAAGAGATCAATGCAGAGAAAAGTTGTGCAGATCGATCTAAGGGAACCTTCCTTACTCAGCTGTGGAGCTGTGAGTGGTCATTGGCACTGGCCCAGCGGGAGGGGGTGGAGGCCGAAGTAAGAGTGTGGAGCTCACTGGATGCGGACCTGCTTCACCCCAATTTTGGGATTGGTCTTCCCGAGCCAAAACCGCAGGGAGAGGAAAGGAAACCTGTCTGAAATGCAGGCACCCGCTTCGGTTCCAAACATCACCTCTGAGCTAGAACACCTTTGGCCCATCTCTCTGGCAACGTCGAGCAGTGACCTCACCTTCCAACTGTCCTCCCGAGGCCTTGGCCTGCAGGCTGCTGTTCTCATGAGCCAGGCTCAGAAATCGACCCATCAGAGAATGATCGAAACCCAGATCTTTCACTACCAAACAGCACCTTGCATCATATTACAGAAGACTTGTAAGAATGGTTTTTAGTATCGGGACGCCTGGGTGGCTCAGTCGATTAGGTGGCTGACTTCTGCTCAGGTCACGATCTCACAGTTAATGG